TGTGTGTGTGTGTTTGTGTTTGTTTGTGTGTGTGTGTGTGTGTGTGTGTGTGTTTGTGTTTGTTTGTGTGTGTGTGTGTGTGTGTGTTTTTGTTTATATGTGTGTTTGTTTGTGTGTTTGTTTGTGTGTGTGTGTGTGTGTGTGTGTGTGTGTGTTTATGTGTGTGTGTGTGTGTGTGTGTGTGTGTTTTGGTTTATTTTTAATTATTGTATATAGTATTTTTTAATGAAATGATTAAAAAAAGAATGTACAGGGCTGCAGTTGTGAGACTCTCCAAAGTGTCTCAAAGCAAAGAGCTAGTTAACAGATGATAAGGCCATGCATTATCATGGATCACTTATGCACTTCAAAAATGAAAGATGACTTATGTTTTCTGATATATACATAAAAAACAATCACTGCAGCTCCTAAACGCTGAGAACGTTGATACTGGCTGTGTGTGAACGATGTCAGAAAACACCATGTAATGTGGTTTGACTCCAGTCAGGGAGTTCATGCTGACCCACATCCACAGTAGAAACATCTGTAGTGGGCACATGAGCATCAAACTTGAACCACAGAGAAGTGGGGCATGGTCTGTTGAATTGTAAATGCTTTTTGTTTTCATTCCTCTTATGGAGGTGGCAGGTTCTGTGCGTCACTTAAAGGAGAACACAAAGCACCAGGATAAATTGTGTTTAGGATCAAGGCGTTGGGGCAGTGCAATGCTTTGGGAGATCTGCTGGGAAARCTTATATTCTTCCATTTAAGTAGACGTTACTTTGACATAAGCCATCTTTCAGCTCCATCACATTATTTAGCTCAAGGCTAAAAGTAGTTAAGAATTTGTTGAGGGACACAAAACCTAACATGAGGAATTACTTGGCCTCTAAGTACAGATCCAATTAAACCRTTGAGAGATGTTTTATACAAACAAGTTCCAGTGTTGCGTAAATTATGTCACAGTGATACTCGAGTAAAAGTACAAGTATCTCACCATAAAATTACTTTGGTAAAGGTTGAAGTCTCCTCTAAGAATATTACATGAGTAGAAGTCTTAAAGTATCTGATATTTGGGACACTGTTGAGCCACAAACCAAGATAGAGGCCTAAGGCGAGAGCTCTGCTCGACTGCCCAGTTTAACAGAAAAACCCTGAAAAACATTGTCAGCTACAGCAACATTATGTCAAAATRGACTTGAGTGAAACACTGACATATTCACAAGGAAGTGTACCTCACAGAAGCCTAAAACCACCTGGTCCCCAACTGATATGGGTCTGTTGTGTGATGGAAAGCCAAGCTGTCCCAGTGAGTCTGTATGAACCTGTCCATTATGACCTCCAGGGTTAATCTGAACCAGGCTGGACCTCAGAGTCTGCCTCGCCAAGCCTTTCACCTCCAATGAGACCACTGGAAGTCACCAACTTTGGTTATCTGATGAACTGTGCCTAATTTAAAGCATTACACGTGACATGTACCTAATTTAAGCATTACACGTGACATGTACCTAATTTAAATCATTACACGTGACATGTACCTAATTTAAATCATTACACGTGACATGTACCTAATTTAAACCATTACACGTGACATGTACCTAATTTAAAGCTTTACATGTGACATGTTCACAGACCAGTCCTGGTTAAACAGTCGAAGCAGCTTTGAGATTATCCTTCTGCAGTGAGATTAAACATTACTATTTAATCTAAACAAAACCTTACCATCTTCTCTCCAAATTAACAAAAACGTAAAGGTTTAATTTGGATCTCCTGTCATTTTAGTTTTATCGAACCACAGGATAAGTATCCAAAATTAATGTCTTTGTCCCTGTGTGCGTTCGTAAATATGAATCTGTTTTTTATTCTAACTTTGAAGTAATGCATTCTGCCTGGTAGAGTAGCCTTTCAGTGCACGTCGATACATTTCACTGTCTTACCAGCTTCATTTTTACTGTGCAATACTTTGACACTAACAAGTTGGCTTGTTAACAAACAAAAATGAAAGACCTTACAAGTTCAACAAGAAATACAAGATTAGCAGTAACTGTCACTTTACAAACAAGTTAAACCAGAAACACAAGACTAACAGTAACTGTCACTTCTTTTCTTTTTGTGTAAATCATTTCTTCAAACCTGTCATGTATTTAAAACTGAAATTACTCCTAAGCTAGTTGTCAAATTTTAAAATGTCTGCTATTTAGATACTACTTTTGTCTGTGGTTGTGTTTTTTTGTCTCGTCTGTTAGCAAAATATCTTCTGAAGCAATGCACAAATTGCATTAAAACTTGCAAAAAGTAATCATTAGAGTAACCTGTACAACTGATGTTGAAGTCAACCCAATTTAAGAAGACTCTGAAATGTTGAAAAAAATAAAAACATAAAGAAACCTACAAAACTGACAATAATTTAGTAATTTTCACAAATACTGCACTGCAAACACTGTCCATGTAACCAAGTTTTAAAACCTTATATCAGCCAAAAAGTCTTTTTGATCTTGTTTTCAGAC